TTTGGAGGCAGAGTCTTTATGTGTTGCCTAGACTGGAGTGCAGTGGTGCGATCTTAGCTCACTGCAGCCTACACCTTCTGGGTTCATATTGCTTATAATTTATCATTGTGTTTCTGTGCAGTCACTTGGGAATTCTTCAATCCTCAAGACCAGTCAGCTTGGAGATTCTCCTTTTTATCCTGGAAAAACAACATATGGTGGGGCAGCAGCTGCTGTAAGACAATCTAAACTACGAAATACACCTTATCAGGTAGGTTCCAGTAGAAGGGTTGATGACCTTTTTCTTTTACTGTAACTTGATAATAAATTACTAAAAAAAAAAATGAGTTTTGTTATAATGTTCTTTGGGGAAATTAGTAGCTGTAGAGCTGTAGATCGTATTTTTTTCATTTACGGTATATTATTTTACACCTGAGTAAACATTTTATGTATTAGATATATGTATGTATCTCAAGAAATGTGATGATTCTTTTTTTTAGATTAGGTAAAAATTACACATACTGAAATTTACCCTTGTTTCAGAGTATTTGAGTTTTAACAAAACACATTATTGTGTGTATAACCCCTTCTACAATCAAAATGTTAATCAGACATTCACCCCAAATTGTTACCTTATGCTTCTCTTGAGTCAACGCTTCCTCCTCCTACCATCCTTTGGCAACCACTGATCTGTCTTCTTTCTTGTAGTTTTGGCTTTTCCAGAGTGTCATATACATTTATCATACGTAGCCTTTTGATTATTCTACGTAACATAATGCATTTGAGAGCCATCTGGTTTTGCATCTTTTTTTTTCTTCTTTTTCTTTTCTGAAGTGAAGAAATTCAACCGAAGGTTTTGTATCTTTTAATAGTTCGTTTTTATTGCCAAGTAGTATGTTTAGTACAGTTGGTTTATTATTCACCAGTGAAAAGACACTGAGCTGTTTCCAATTTTTAGCAATTATGAATGAAGCTGCTATGAACGTTTGTGTGAGTATTCATTTTCATCTCTCTTGGGTAAATACAAATACTTAGGAGTTGGATTGAGGGATCATATGGTAAGTATACAGTAAACTTTATAATAAACTGCCAAACTGTTTTCCAGAGTGGCTGGTACCAGGTTGCATTCTGACCAGTAATGTAAGAGTTGCTCTGCATCCTTGTCGGTACTTGGTATTGTCAGGTTTTTTTTGTTTGTTTTTGCTATTCTAATTGGCATGTAGTGATAACCCCAACTTGTGATTTTAATTTGTACTTTCCTAATGACTGATGATGTTGAATGTCTTTTCATCTGTTTATTTGGTGCTTATTTGCTATCAGCCTATTTTTTGGTGAACTATCATCTTTCGTGAAGTATCTGTTCACATCTTCCACCCACTTTAAAGTTGGGTTATTTTCTTGTTAATACATTCTGAGAGTTCATTTTTCATGGTATAAGTCCTTTGTTACATGTTTTGCAAATATTTTCTCACATTCTCTGGCTTATCTTAACAGTGTCTTTTGAAGAGCAGAAGTTTTACTTTTGATGACATTGTGTGTGTGTGTGTGTGTGTGTGTGTGTGTGTGTGTGTATTTTTGCTACCAAGACATTCAGTAGGCACATGTGTGTGCGTGTGTGTATTAATGGTTTCATGCTTTTGGTGACATATCTGAGACATTTTTACTTCATTCCACGTTAGATTTTCTCTTACATTTTCTTCCACAAGTTTTGTAGTTTTAGGTTTTAATTTAGGCCTATGATTCATTTTGAATAAGTTTTTGTGTGTGGTATGAGGTATTGGTCAAGGTTCATTTTTATTTTCTAAATTAAAAAGTTTTTTTAAAAAAATTAAAGATGGGGATGTTAGTATGTTGCTCGGGCTGATCTTCAACTCCTGGGCTCAAGCAGTCTTCCTGCCTCAGCCTCCTAAAGTGCTGAGATTGCAGGTGTCCCTGGCCAAGATTCCTTTTTTTTTTTTTTTTTTTTTTTTT